AAAAAAAATAGAACAAGGGTCTAGCATGTGCAAAATTGCAACAACAAGGGCCTAGCGTGTTCAAAATTGCAAGAACAAGGGCCTAGCGAGTGCAAAATAGCAAGAGCAAGGGCCTAGCGTGTGCAAAAAATCAAGAACAATGGCCTAGCCTTCGCGAAATAGCAAGAACAAGGGCCTAGCATGTGCAAAATAAAAAGAACAAGGGCATAGCTTGTGCAAAATAGCTAGAATAAGAGCCTAGCGTGTGAAAAATAAAAAGAACAAGGGCCTAGCGTGTGCAAAATAAAAAAAACAAGGGCCTAGCGTGCGCAAAATAAAAAGAACAAGGGCCTAGCGAGTGCAAAATTGCAAGAACAAGGGCCTAGCGTGTGCAAAATTGCAAGAACAAGGGCCTAGCGTGTGCACAATTGCAAGAACAAGGGCCTAGCGGGTGCAAAATAGCAAGAACAAGGGCCTAGCGTATGCAAAATAAAAAGAACAAGGGCCTAGCATGTGCAAAATTGCAAGAACGAGGGCCTAGCGTGTGCGAAATAGCAAGAACAAGGGCCTAGCATGTGCAAAATTGCAAAAACAAGGGCCAAGCGTGTGCAAAATAAAAAGAACACGGGCATAGCGTGTGCAAAATTGCAAAAACAAGGGCCAAGCGTGTGCAAAATAAAAAGAACACGGGCATAGCGTGTGCAAAATAGCAAGAATAAGGGCCTAGCGTGTGCAAAATAAAAAGAACAAGGGCCTAGCGTTTGCAAAATTGCAAGAATAAGGGCATAGCATGTGAAAAATAAAAAGAACAAGGGCATAGCGTGTGCAAAATAAAAAGAACAAGGGCCTAGCGTGTGCAAAATAAAAAGAACAAGGGCCTAGCGTTTGCAAAATTGCAAGAACAAAGGCATAGCATGTGAAAAAAAAAAAGAACAAGGGCATAGCGTGTGCAAAATAAAAAGAACAAGGGTCTAGCATGTGCAAAATTGCAAAAACAAGGGCCAAGCGTGTGCAAAATAAGAAGAACACGGGCATAGCGTGTGCAAAATAGCAAGAATAAGGGCCTAGCGTGTGCAAAATAAAAAGACCAAGGGCCCAGCGTTTGCAAAATTGCAAGAACAAGGGCATAGCATGTGAAAAATAAAAAGAACAAGGGCATAGCGTGTGCAAAATAAAAAGAACAAGGGCCTAGCGTGTGCAAAATAAAAAGAACAAGGGCCTAGCGTTTGCAAAATTGCAAGAACAAGGGCCTAGCGTGTGCAAAATTGCAAGAACAAGGGCCTAGCGTGTGCAACAAAAATAGAACAAGGGTCTAGCACGTGCAAAATTGCAAGAACAAGGGCCTAGCGTGTGAAAAATAAAAAGAACAAGGGCCTAGCGTGTGCAAAATAAAAAAAACAAGGGCCTAGCGTGCGCAAAATAAAAAGAACAAGGGCCTAGCGAGTGCAAAATTGCAAGAACAAGGGCCTAGCGTGTGCAAAATTGCAAGAACAAGGGCCTAGCGTGTGCACAATTGCAAGAACAAGGGCCTAGCGGGTGCAAAATAGCAAGAACAAGGGCCTAGCGTATGCAAAATAAAAAGAACAAGGGCCTAGCATGTGCAAAATTGCAAGAACGAGGGCCTAGCGTGTGCGAAATAGCAAGAACAAGGGCCTAGCGTGTGCAAAATAAAAAGAACAAGGGTCTAGCATGTGCAAAATTGCAAAAACAAGGGCCAAGCGTGTGCAAAATAAAAAGAACACGGGCATAGCGTGTGCAAAATAGCAAGAATAAGGGTCTAGCGTGTGCAAAATAAAAAGAACAAGGGCCTAGCGTTTGCAAAATTGCAAGAACAAGGGCATAGCATGTGAAAAATAAAAAGAACAAGGGCATAGCGTGTGCAAAATAAAAAGAACAAGGGCCTAGCGTGTGCAAAATAAAAAGAACAAGGGCCTAGCGTGTGCAAAATTGCAAGAACAAGGGCCTAGCGTTTGCAAAATAAAAAGAACAAGGGTCTAGCATGTGCAAAATTGCAAGAACAAGGGCCTAGCGTGTGCAAAATTGCAAGAACAAGGGCCTAGCGAGTGCAAAATAGCAAGAGCAAGGGCCTAGCGTGTGCAAAAAATCAAGAACAAGGGCCTAGCCTTCGCGAAATAGCAAGAACAAGGGCCTAGCATGTTCAAAATAAAAAGAACAAGGGTCTAGCATGTACAAAATGGCAAGAACAAGGGCCAAGCGTGTGCAAAATAAGAAGAACAAGGGCATAGCGTGTGCAAAATAGCTAGAATAAGGGCCTAGCGTGTGAAAAATAAAAAGAACAAGGGCCTAGTGAGTGCAAAATTGCAAGAACAAGGGCCTAGCGTGTGCAAATTTGCAAGAACAAGGGCCTAGCGTGTGCACAATTGCAAGAACAAGGGCCTAGCGGGTGCAAAATAGCAAGAGCAAGGGCCTAGCGTATGCAAAATAAAAAGAACAAGGGCCTAGCGTGTGCAAAATTGCAAGAACAAGGGCCTAGCGTGTGCGAAATAGCAAGAACAAGGGCCTAGCGTGTGCAAAATAAAAAGAACAAGGGTCTAGCATGTGCAAAATTGCAAAAACAAGGGCCAAGCGTGTGCAAAATAAAAAAAACACGGGCAAAGCGTGTGCAAAATAGCAAGAATAAGGGCCTAGCGTGTGCAAAATAAAAAGAACAAGGGCCTAGCGTTTGCAAAATTGCAAGAACAAGGGCATAGCATGTGAAAAAAAAAAAGAACAAGGGCATAGCGTGTGCAAAATATAAAGAACAAGGGCCTAGCGTGTGCAAAATAAAAAGAACAAGGGCCTAGCGTTTGCAAAATTGCAAGAACAAGGGCCTAGCGTGTGCAAAATTGCAAGAACAAGGGCCTAGCGTGTGCAAAAAAAATAGAACAAGGGTCTAGCACGTGCAAAATTGCAAGAACAAGGGCCTAGCGTGTGCAAAATAGCAAGAATAAGGGCCTAGCGTGTGCAAAATAAAAAGAACAAGGGCCTAGCGTTTGCAAAATTGCAAGAACAAGGGCATAGCGTGTGCAAAATATAAAGAACAAGGGCCTAGCGTGTGCAAAATAAAAAGAACAAGGGCCTAGCGTGTGCAAAATAAAATGAACAAGGGCATGGCGTGTGCAAAATAGCAAGAACAAGGGCCTAGCGTATGCAAAATATAAAAAACAAGGGCATGGCGTGTGCAAATTTGCAAGGACAAGGGCCTAGCGTGTGCACAATTGCAAGAACAAGGGCCTAGCGGGTGCAAAATAGCAAGAGCAAGGGCCTAGCGTATGCAAAATAAAAAGAACAAGGGCCTAGCGTGTGCAAAATAAAAAAAAAACAAGGGCATAGCGTGTGCAAAATAGCGAGAACAAGGGCCTAGCGTGTGCAAAATTGCAAGAACAAGGGCCTAGCGTGTGCACAATTGCAAGAACAAGGGCCTAGCGACTGCAAAATAGCAAGAGCAAGGGCCTAGCGTGTGCAAAAAATCAAGAACAAGGGCCTGGCATTCGCGAAATAGCAAGAGCAAGGGCCTAGCGTGTGCAAAAAAAATAGAACAGAGGTCTAGCATGTGCAAAATTGCAAGAACAAGGGCCTAGCGTGTGCAAAATTGCAAGAACAAGGGCCTAGCGAGTGCAAAATAGCAAGAGCAAGGGCCTAGCGTGTGCAAAAAATCAAGAACAAGGGCCTAGCCTTCGCGAAATAGCAAGAACAAGGGCCTAGCATGTGCAAAATAAAAAGAACAAGGGTCTAGCATGTGCAAAATGGCAAGAACAAGGGCCAAGCGTGTGCAAAATAAAAAGAACAAGGGCATAGTGTGTGCAAAATAGCTAGAATAAGGGCCTAGCGTGTGAAAAATAAAAAGAACAAGGGCCTAGCGTGTGCAAAATAAAAAAAAACAAGGGCCTAGCGTGCGAAAAATAAAAAGAACAAGGGCCTAGCGAGTGCAAAATTGCAAGAACAAGGGCCTAGCGTGTGCAAAATTGCAAGAACAAGGGCCTAGCGTGTGCGAAATAGCAAGAACAAGGGCCTAGCGTGTGCAAAATAAAAAGAACAAGGGTCTAGCATGTGCAAAATTGCAAAAACAAGGGCCAAGCGTGTGCAAAATAAAAAGAACACGGGCATAGCGTGTGCAAAATAGCAAGAATAAGGGCCTAGCGTGTGCAAAATAAAAAGAACAAGGGCCTAGTGTTTGCAAAATTGCAAGAACAAGGGCCTAGCATGTGCAAAATTGCAAGAACAAGGGCCTAGCGAGTGCAAAATAGCAAGAACAAGGGCCTAGTGAGTGCAAAAAATCAAGAACAAGGGCCTAGCCTTCGCGAAATAGCAAGAACAAGGGCCTAGCATGTGCAAAATAAAAAGAACAAGGGCATTAGCGTGTGCAAAATATCTAGAATAAGGGCCTGGCGTGTGCAAAATAAAAAGAACAAGGGCCTAGCGTGTGCAAAATTGCAAGAACAATGGCCTAGCGTGTGCAAAATTGCAAGAACAAGGGCCTAGCAAGTGCAAAATAGCAAGATCAAGAGCCTAGCGTGTCCAAAAAATCAAGAACAAGGACCTAGCGTTCGCGAAATAGCAAGAACAAGGGCCTAGCGTGTGCAAAAAAAAAAGAACAAGGGCATAACGTGTGCAAAATAAAAAGAACAAGGGCATGGCGTGTGCAAAATAGCAAGAACAGGGGCCAAGCGTGTGCAAAATTGCAAGAACAAGGGCCTAGCGTGTGCACAATTGCAAGAACAAGGGCCTAGCGGGTGCAAACTAGCAAGAGCAAGGGCCTAGCGTGTGCAAAATAAAAAGAACAAGGGTCTAGCATGTGCAAAATTGCAAGAACAAGGGCCTAGCGGGTGCAAAATAAAAAGAACAAGGGCATAGCGTATGCAAAATAGCAAGAACAAGGGTGTAGCGTGTGCAAAATAAAAAGAACAAGGGCCTAGCGTGTGCAAAATTGCAAAAACAAGGGCCTAGCATGTGCAAAATTGCAAGAACAAGGGCCTAGCGAGCGCAAAGTAGCAAGAGCAAGGGCTAGCGTGTGCAAAAAATCAAGATAAAGGGCCTAGTGTTCGCGAAATAGCAAGAACAAGGGCCACGTCCACGTCCACGTCCACGTCCTCGTCCACGACCACGTCCACGTCCACGTCCACGACCACGTCCACGTCCATGTCCACGTCGACGTCGACGTCGACGTCCACGTCCACGTCCACGTCCACGTCCACGTCCATGTCCACGTCCACGTCCACGTCCATGTCCACCTCCACGTCCACGTCCACGTCCACGACCATGTCCACGTCCACGTCCACGTCCACGTCCATGTCCATGTCCACGTCCATGTTCACGTCCATGTCCACGTCCATGTCCACGTCCACGTCCACGTCCACGTCCATGTCCACGTCCACGTCCACGTCCACGACCATGTCCACGTCCACGTCCGCGTCCACGTCCATGTCCACGTCCACGTCCACATCCACGACCATGTCCACGTCCACGTCCATGTCCACGTCCACGTCCACGTCCACGTCCATGTCCACGTCCACGACCACGTCCACGTCCATGTCCATGTCCACGTCCATGTCCACGTCCACGTCGACGTCGACGTCGACGTCGACGTCCACGTCCACGTCCATGTCCACGTTCACGTCCACGTCGACATCCATGTCCACGTCCACGTCCACGTCCACGTCCATGTCCACGTCCACGTCCACGTCCACGACCATGTCCACGTCCACGTCCACGTCCATGTCCATGTCCACGTCCATGTCTACGTCCACGTCCACGTCCTCTTCCATGTCCACGTCTATGTCCACATCCACGTCCACGTCCACGTCCACGTCCACGACCACGTCCACGTCGACGTCCACGTCCACGTCCACGTCCACGTCCATGTCTACGACCACGACCACGTCCACTTCCACGTCCACGTCCACTTCCACGTCCACGTCCACGACCATGTCAACGTCCACGTCCACGTCCACGTCCACGTCCATGTCCACATCCACGTCCACGTCCACGTCCACGTCCACGACCATGTCCACGTCCATGTCCACGTCCACGTCCAGGTCCACGTCCACGACCATGTCCACGTCCACGTCCACGTCCACGTCCATGTCCACGTCCATGTCGACGTCCACGTCCACGTCCACGTCCACGTCCACGTCCATGTCCACGTCCACGTCGACATCCACGTCCACGTCCACGTCCACGACCACGTCCACGTCCACGTCCACGACCACGTCCACGTCCATGTCCACCTCCACGTCCACGTCCACGTCCACATCCAAGTCCACGTCCATGTCCATGTCCACGTCCATGTCCACGTCCACGTCCACGTCCATGTTCACGTCCACGTCGACGTCCACGTCCACGTCCATATCCACGTCCACGTCCACGTCCTCTTCCATGTCCACATCCATGTCCACGTCCACGTCCACGTCCACGACCATGTCCACGTCCACGTCCACGTCCACGTCCATGTCCACGTCCACGTCCACGTCCATGTCCACGTCCACGTCCACGACCACGTCCACGTCCACGTCCACGTCCATGTCCATGTCCATGTCCACGTCCATGTCCACGTCCACGTCCACTTCCATGTCGACGTCCATGTCCACGTCCACGTCCACGTTTACGTCCACGTCCACGTCGACGTCCACGACCACGTCCACGTCGACGTGCACGTCCACGTGCACGTCCACGTCCACGTCCATGTCCACGACCACGACCACGTCCATGTCCACGTCCACGTCCACGTCCACGTCCACGTCCACGTCCACGTCCACGTCCATGTCCACGTTCACGTCCACGTCCACGTCCATGTCCACGTTCACGTCCACGTCGACATCCATGTCCACGTCCACGTCCACGTCCACGTCCATGTCCACGTCCACGTCCACGTCCACAACCATGTCCACGTCCACGTCCACAACCATGTCCATGTCCACGTCCATGTCCACGTCCACGTCCACGTCCCCTTCCATGTTCACGTCTATGTCCACGTCCACGTCCACGTCCACGTCTACGTCCACGTCCACGTCCACGTCCACGACAACGTCCACGTCGACGTCCACGTCCACGTCCACGTCCACATCCATGTCCACATCCACGACCAAGACCACGTCCACTTCCACGTCCACGTCCACGTCCACATCCACGTCCACTCATTTCCACGTTCACGTCCACGTCCATGTCCACGTCCACGTCCATGTCCACGTCCACGTCCACGTCCATGTCCACGTCCAAGTCCTCCACGTCCACATCCATGTCCACGTCCACGTCCACGTCCACGTCGATGTCCACATCCATGTCCACGTCCACGTCCATGTCCACGTCCACGTCCACGTCCACGTCCATGTCCATGTCCACGTCCATGTCCATGTCGACGTCCACATCCACGTCCACGTCCAGGTCCATGTCCACGACCATGTCCACGTCCACGTCCACGTCCATGTCCACGTTCATGTCCATGTCCACGTCCATGTCCACGTCCACGTCCACGTCCATGTTCACGTCCACGTCGACGTCCACGTCCACGTCCATATCCACGTCCACGTCCTCTTCCATGTCCACGTCCATGTCCACGTCCACGTCCACGTCCATGTCCACGTCCACGTCCACGTCCACGTCCATGTCCACGTCCACGTCCATGTCCACGTCCACGTCCACGTCCATGACCACGTCCACGTCCACGTCCATGTCCATGTCCACGTCCATGTCCACGTCCACGTCCACGTCCATGTTCACGTCCACGTCCATGTCCACGTCCACGTCCACGTCCACGTCCATGTTCACGTCCACGTCGACGTCCACGTCCACGTCCACGTCCATATCCACGTCCACGTCCACGTCCACGTCCATATCCACGTCCACGTCCACGTCCACGTCCATGTCCACGTCCACGTCCACGTCCACGACCACGTCCACGTCCACGTCCATGTCCACGTCCACGTCCACGTCCACGACCACATCCACGTCCACGTCTACGACCACGTCCACGTCCACGTCCACGTCCATGTCCATGTCCACGTCCACGTCCACGTCCACGTCCACGTCCACTTCCATGTCCATGTCCATGTCCACGTCCACGTCCACGTCCACGTCCACGTCCACGTCCACGACCACGTCCACGTCCACGTCCACGTCCATGTCCATGTCCACGTCCACGTCCACGTCCACGTCCACGTCCACTTCCATGTCCATGTCCACGTCCACGTCCACGTCTACGTCCACGTCCACGACCACGTCCACGTCCATGTCCATGTCCACGACCACGACCACGTCCACTTCCACGTCCACGTCCACGACCATGTCCACGTCCACGTCCACGTCCATGTCCACGTCCACGTCCATGTCCACGTCCACGACCACGTCCACGTCCACGTCCACGTCCACGTCAACGTCCACGTCGACGTCCACGTCCACGTCCACGTCCATGTCCACGTCCACGTCCACGTCCAGGTCCATGTCCACGACCATGTCCACGTCCACGTCCATGTCCACGTCCACGTCCACGTCCACCTCTATGTCCACGTCCACGCCCATGTCCATGTCCACGTCCACGTCCATGTCCATGTCCACGTCCACGTCCATGTCCATGTCCATGTCCATGTCCATGTCCACGTCCATGTCCATGTCCATGTCCATGTCCATGTCCATGTCCACGTCCATGTCCATGTCCATGTCCACGTCCATGTCCATGTCCACGTCCATGTCCATGTCCACGTCCACGTCCACGTCCATGTCCACGTCCACGTCCACGTCCATGTCCATGTCCACGTCCACGTCCACGTCCATGTCCACGTCCACGTCCATGTCCATGTCCACGTCCACGTCCACGTCCACGTCCACATCCACGTCCACGTCCACATCCACGTTCACGTCCACGTCCATGTCCACGTCCACGTCCATGTCCACGTCCACGTCCACGTCCACGTCCATGTCCATGTCCAAGTCCTCCACGTCCACATCCATGTCCACGTCCACGTCCACGTCCACGTCGATGTCCACATCCATGTCCACGTCCACGTCCATGTCCACGTCCACGTCCACGTCCACGTCCATGTCCACGTCCACGTCCACGTCCACGTCCAGGTCCATGTCCACGTCCACGTCCACGTCCACATCCATGTCCACGTCCATGTCGACGTCCGCGTCCACGTCCACGTCCACGTCCATGTCCACGTCCACGTCCACATCCATGTCCACGTCCATGTCGACGTCCACGTCCAAGTCCACGTCCACGTCCATGTCCACGTCCACGTCCACGTGCATGTCGACGTCCACATCCACGTCCACGTCCAGGTCCATGTCCACGACCATGTCCACGTCCACGTCCACGTCCATGTCCACGTTCATGTCCATGTCCACGTCCATGTCCACGTCCACGTCCACGTCCATGTTCACGTCCACGTCGACGTCCACGTCCACGTCCATATCCACGTCCACGTCCACGTCCTCTTCCATGTCCACGTCCATGTCCACGTCCACGTCCACGTCCATGTCCACGTCCACGTCCACGTCCACGTCCATGTCCACGTCCACGTCCACGTCCACGTCCATGTCCACGTCCACGTCCACGTCCACGTCCATGTCCACGTCCACGTCCACGTCCACGACCACGTCCACGTCCACGTCCACGTCCATGTCCATGTCCACGTCCATGTCCACGTCCACGTCCACGTCCACTTCCATGTCCACGTCCATGTCCACGTCCACGTCTACGTCCACGTCTACGTCCACGTCCACGTCCACGTCCACGACCACGTCCACGTCGACGTGCACGTCCACGTGCACATCCACGTCCACATCCATGTCCACGACCACGACCACGTCCATGTCCACGTCCACGTCCACGTCCACGTCGACGTCGACGTCCACGTCCACGTCCATGTCCACGTTCACGTCCACGTCGACATCCATGTCCACATCCACGTCCACGTCCACGTCCATGTCCACGTCCACGTCCACGACCATGTCCACGTCCACGTCCACGTCCATGTCCATGTCCACGTCCATGTCCATGTCTACGTCCACGTCCTCTTCCATATCCACGTCTATGTCCACGTCCACGTCCACGTCCACGTCCACGTCTACGTCCACGTCCACGTCCACGACAACGTCCACGTCGACGTCCACGTCCACGTCCACGTCCACATCCATGTCCACGACCACGACCACGACCACGTCCACTTCCACGTCCACGTCCACGACCATGTCCACGTCCACGTCCACGTCCATGTCCACATCCACGTCCACGTCCACGTCCACGACCATGTCCACGTCCATGTCCACGTCAACGTCCAGGTCCACGTCCACGACCATGTCCACGTCCACGTCCACGTCCACGTCCATGTCGACGTCCACGTCCACGTCCACGTCCACGTCCATGTCCACCTCGACGTCGACGTCCACGTCCACGTCCACGTCCACGACCACGTCCACGTCCACGTCGACGACCACATCTATGTCCATGTCCACGTCCACGTCCACGTCCACGTCCATGTCCATGTCCACGTCCATGTCCACGTCCACGTCCACTTCCATGTTCACGTCCACGTCGACGTCCACGTCCACGTCCACGTCCATATCCACGTCCACGTCCACGTCCACTTCCATGTCCACGTCCATGTCCACGTCCACGTCCACGTCCACGTCCATGTCCACGTCCACGTCCACGTCCACGTCCATGTCCACGTCCACGTCCACGTCCACGTCTACGTCCACGTCCACGTCCACGTCCACGACCACGTCCACGTCGACGTGCACGTCCACGTGCACATCCACGTCCACGTCCATGTCCACGACCACCACCACGTCCATGTCCACGTCCACGTCCACGTCCACGTCGACGTCGACGTCCACGTCCACGTCCATGTCCACGTTCACGTCCACGTCGACATCCATGTCCACATCCACGTCCACGTCCACGTCCATGTCCACGTCCACGTCCACGACCATGTCCACGTCCACGTCCATGTCCATGTCCACGTCCATGTCCATGTCTACGTCCACGTCCTCTTCCATATCCACGTCTATGTCCACGTCCACGTCCACGTCCACGTCCACGTCTACGTCCACGTCCACGTCCACGACAACGTCCACGTCGACGTCGACGTCCACGTCCACGTCCACATCCATGTCCACGACCACGACCACGACCACGTCCACTTCCACGTCCACGTCCATGACCATGTCCACGTCCACGTCCACGTCCATGTCCACATCCACGTCCACGTCCACGTCCACGACCATGTCTACGTCCATGTCCACGTCAACGTCCAGGTCCACGTCCACGACCATGTCCACGTCCACGTCCACGTCCACGTCCATGTCGACGTCCACGTCCACGTCCACGTCCACGTCCATGTCCACCTCGACGTCGACGTCCACGTCCACGTCCACGACCACGTCCACGTCCACGTCGACGACCACGTCTATGTCCATGTCCACGTCCACGTCCACGTCCATGTCCATGTCCACGTCCATGTCCACGTCCACGTCCACTTCGATGTTCACGTCCACGTCGACGTCCACGTCCACGTCCATATCCACGTCCACGTCCACGTCCACTTCCATGTCCACGTCCATGTCCACATCCACGTCCACGTCCACGTCCATGTCCACGTCCACGTCCACGTCCACGTCCATGTCCACGTCCACGTCCACGTCCACGTCCACGTCCACGACCATGTCCACGTCCACGTCCACGTCTATGTCCATGTCCATGTCCACGTCCATGTCCACGTCCACGTCGACGTCCACTTCCATGTCCATGTCCATGTCCACGTCCACGTCCACGTCCACGTCTACGTCCACGTCCACGTCCACGTCCACGACCAAGTCCACGTCGACGTGCACGTCCACGTGCACGTCCACGTCCACGTCCATGTCCACGACCACGACCACGACCACGTCCACTTCCACGTCCACGTCCACGACCATGTCCACGTCCACGTCCACGTCCACGTCCATGTCCACGTCCACGTCCACGTCTACGTCAACGTCCACGACCATGTCCACGTCCATGTCCACGTCCACGTCCAGGTCCATGTCCACGACCACGTCCACGTCCACGTCGACGTCCACGTCCACGTCCCATCCATGTCCAGGTCCACGTCCACGTCCACGTCCACGTCCACGTCCATGTCCACGTCCACGTCCACGTCCACGTCCAGGTCCATGTCCACGACCATGTCCACGTCCACGTCCATGTCCACATCCACGCCCACGTCCACCTCCATGTCCACGTCCACGCCCATGTCCATGTCCACGTCCACGTCCATGTCCATGTCCACGTCCACGTCCATGTCCATGTCCATGTCCATGTCCATGTCCACGTCCATGTCCATGTCCATGTCCATGTCCACGTCCATGTCCATGTCCACGTCCATGTCCATGTCCATGTCCACGTCCATGTCCATGTCCACGTCCACGTCCACGTCCATGTCCATGTCCACGTCCACGTCCACGTCCACGTCCACGTCCACGTCCACGTCCATGTCCACGTCCACGTCCACGTCCACGTCCACGTCCACATCCACGTCCACGTCCACGTCCATGTCCACGTCCACGTCCATGTCCACGTCCATGTCCACGTCCACGTCCACGTCAATGTCCACGTCCACGTCCATGTCCACGTCCAAGTCCTCCACGTCCACGTCCACGTCCACATCCATGTCCACGTCTACGTCCACGTCCACGACGATGTCCACGTCCACGTCCACGTCCACGTCCATGTCCACGTCCACGTCCACGTCCAGGTCCATGTCCACGTCCACGTCCATGTCCATGTCCACGTCCACGTCCACGTCCACATCCATGTCCACGTCCATGTTGAGGTCCACGTCCACGTCCACGTCCATGTCCACGTCCACGTCCACGTGCATGTCCACGTCCACGTCCACGTCCAGGTCCATGTCCACGACCATGTCCACGTCCACGTCCACGTCCACGTCCATGTCCACGTCCACGTCCATGTCCACGTCCACGTCCACGTCCACATCCACGTCCACGTCCATGTCCACGTCGACGTCCACGTCCACGTCCACGTCCATGTCCACGTCCACGTCCATGTTCACGACCACGATCACGTCCACTTCCACGTCCATGTCCACGACCATGTCCACGTCCACGTCCACGTCCACGTCCATGTCCACGTCCACGTCCACGTCCACGTCCACGTCCATGACCATGTCCACGTCCATGTCCACGTCCACGTCCAGGTCCACGTCCACGACCATGTCCACGTCCACGTCCACGTCCATGTCCACGTCCACGTCCATTTCCACGTCCACGTCCACGTCCACGTCCACGTCCATGTCCACGTTGACGTCCACGTCCACGTCCACGTCCACGTCCACGACCACGTCCACGTCCACGTCCACGACCACGTCCACGTCCATGTCTATGTCCATGTCCACGTCCACGTCTACGTCCACGTCCACGTCCACGTCCATGTCCATGTCCACATCTATGTCCACGTCCAAGTCCACGTCCATGTTCACGTCCACGTCCACGTCTACGTCCATGTCCACGTCCACGTCCACGTCCACGTCCATGTCCACATCCACGTCCACGTCCACGACCATGTCGACGTCCACGTCCACATCCACGTCCATGTCCATGTCCACGTCCATGTCCACGTCCACGTCCACTTCCATGTCCACGTTTATGTCCACGTCCACGTCCTCGTCCACGTCCATGTCCACGTCCACGTCCACGTCCACGTCCACGACCATGTCCACGTCCAGGTCCACGTCAACGACCATGTCCACGTCCACGTCCACGTCCACGTCCATGTCCACGTCCACGTCCATTTCCACGTCCACGTCCACGTCCACGTCCATGTCCACATCGACGTCGACGTCCACGTCCACGTCCACGTCCACGACCACGTCGACGTCCACGACCACGTCCATGTCCACGTCCACGTCCACCTCCACGTCCACGTCCATGTCCATGTCCATGTCCATGTCGACGTCCACGTCCACATCCATGTTCACGTCCACGTCGACGTCCACGTCCACGTCCATGTCCACGTCCACGTCCACGTCCATTTTTATGTCCACGTCCATGTCTACGTCCACGTCCACGTCCATGTCCACGTCCACGTCCACGTCCACGTCCATGTCCACGTCCACGTCCACGTCCACGTCCATGTCCACGTCCACGTCCACGACCACGTCCACGTCCACGTCCACGTCCATGTCCATGTCCATGTCCACGTCCATGTCCACGTCCACGTCCACATCCACGTCTACGTCCACGTCCACATCCACGTCCACGACCACGTCCATGTCGACGTGCACGTCCACGTGCACGTCCATGTCCACGTCCATGTCCACGACCACGACCACGACCACGTCCACTTCCACGTCCACGTCCACGACCATGTCCACGTCCACGTCCACGTCCACGTCCACGTCCATGTCCACGTCCACGTCCACGTTCACGTCCACGACCATGTCCACGTCCATGTCCACGTCCACGTCCAGGTCACGTCCACGACCATGTCCACGTCCATGTCCACGTCCACGTCCAGGTCCATGTCCACGACCATGTCCACGTCCACGTCCTCGTCCACGTCCATGTCCACGTCCACGTCCATGTCCACGTCCACGTCCACGTCCACATCCACGTCCATGTCCAAGTCGACGTCCACGTCCACGTCCACGTCCACGTCCATGTCCACGTCCACGTCCATGTCCACGTCCACGTTCACGTCCACGTCCACGTCCACGTCCATGTCCACGTCCACGTCCACGTCCACGTCCATGTCCACGACCATGTCCACGTCCACGTCCATGTCCACGTCCACGTCCACGTCCACATCCTTGTCCACGTCCACGTCCATGTCCACGTCCACGTCCATGTCCACTTCCAGGTCCACGTCCACGTCCATGTCCACGTCCACGTCCACGTCCATGTCCACGTCCAGGTCCACGTCCACGTCCAGGTCCATGTCCACGTCCACGTCCACGTCCATGTCCACGTCACGTCCACGTCCACATCCATGTCCACATCCATGTCGACGTCCACGTCCACGTCCATGTCCATGTCCACGTCCATGTCCACGTCCACGTCCACGTCCACGTCGAGGTCCATGTACACGACCATGTCCACGTCCACCTCCACGTCTATGTTCACGTCCACGTCGACGTCCACGTCCACGTCCACGTCCATGTCCACGTCCACGTCCACGTCCACTTCCATGTCCACGTCCATGTCCACGTCCACGTCCACGTCCACGTCCATGTCCACGTCCACGTCCACGTCCATGTCCACGTCCATGTCCACGTCCACGTCCATGTCCACGTCCATGTCTACGTTCACGTCCACGTCCACGACCACGTCCACGTCCACGTCTATGTCCACGTCCATGTCCACGTCCACGTCCACGTCCACTTCCATGTCCACATCCATGTCCACGTCCTCGTCCACGTCCACGTCTACGTCCACGTCCACGTCCACGACCACGTCCATGTCGACGTGCACGTTCACGTGCACGTCCACGTCCATGTCCACGACCACGACCACGACCACGACCACGTCCACTTCCACGTCCACGTCCACGACCATGTCCACGTCCACGTCCACGTCCACGTCCACATCCATGTCCACATCCACGTCCACGTCCACGTCCACGACCATGTCCACGTCCATGTCCACGTCCACGTCCAGGTCCATGTCCACGACCATGTCCACGTCCACGTCCTCGTCCACGTCCATGTCCACTTCCACGTCCATGTCCACGTCCACGTCCACGTCCACATCCACATCCACGTCCACGTCCATGTCCACGTCGACGTCCACGTCCACGTCCACGTCCATGTCCACGTCCACGTCCACGTCCACGTCCATGTCCACGTCCACGTCCACGTCCAGGTCCATGTCCACGACCATGTCCACGTCCACGTCCATGTCCACGTCCTCGTCCACGTCCGCATCCTTGTCCACGTCCACGTCCATGTCCACGTCCACGTCCATGTCCACTTCCACGTCCACGTCCACGTCCATGTCCACGTCCACATCCACGTCCATGTCCACGTCCAGGTCCACGTCCACGTCCAGGTCCATGTCCACGTCCACGTCCACATCCATGTCCACGTCCACGTCCACGTCCACATCCATGTCCACGTCCATGTCGACGTCGACGTCCACGTCCACGTCCATGTCCACGTCCACGTCCACGTCCATGTCCACGTCCACGTCCACGTCCACGTCCAGGTCCATGTACACGACCATGTCCACGTCCACGTCCACGTCCATGTCTACGTCCACGTCCATGTCCACGTCCACGTCCACGTCCACATTCACGTCCACGTCCATGTCCACGTCGACGTCCACGTCGACGTCCACGTCCATGTCCACGTCCACGTCCACGTCCACGTCCACGTCCATGTCCACGTCCATCTCCACGTCCACGTCCACGTCCACGTCCACGTCCATGTCCATGTCCACGTCCATGTCCACGTCCACGTCCAGGTCCATGTCCACGTCCACGTCCACGTCCACGTCAACGTCCACGTCCACGTCAACGTCCACGTCCGCGTCCACTTCCATGTCCACATCCATGTCCACGTCCACGTCCACGTCGACGTCCATGTCCACGTCCACGTCCACGTCGACGTCCATGTCCACGTCCACGTCCACGTCCACGTCCACGTCCACGTCCATGTCCACGTCCACGTCCACGTCCACGACCACGTCCACGTCCACGTCCACGTCCATGTCCATGTCCACGTCCATGTCCACGTCCACGTCCACGTCCATGTCCACGTCCATGTCCACGTCCACGTCCACGTCCACGTCACTGTCCACGTCCATGCCATGTCCACGTCCACGTCCATGTCCACGTCCACGTCCACCTCCACGTCCACATCCACGACCATGTCCACGTCGACGTCCACGTCCACTTCCACGTCCATGTCCACGCCAACGTCCACGTCCACGTCCACGTCCATGTCCACGTCCACGTCCATGTCCATGTCCACGTCCATGTCCACGTCCACGTCCACATCCATGTCCACATCCACGTCTACGTCCACGTCCATGTCCACGTCCACGTCCACGTCCACGTCCACTTCCATGTCCATGTCCATGTCCATGTCCACGTCTATGTCCACGTCCACGTCCACGTCCACATCCATGTCCACGTCCACGTCCATGTCCACGTCCACGTCCACGTCCACAACCACGTCCACGTCCACGTCCACGTCCATGTCCACGTCCATGTCCACGACCACGTCCACGTCCATGTCCACGACCACGTCCACATCCATGTCCACGACCACGTCCACGTCCATGTCCACGTCCATGTCCACGTCCATGTCCACGTCCACGTCCACGTCCACGTCTACGTCCATGTCCACGACCACGACCACGACCACGTCCACTTCCACGTCCACGTCCACGACCATGTCCACGTCCACGTCCACGTCCACGTCCATGTCCACATCCACGTCGACGTCCACGTCCACGTCCACGTCCACGACCATGTCCACGTCCATGTCCACGTCCACGTCCAGGTCCACGTCCACGACCATGTCCACGTCCACGTCCACTTCACGTCCATGTCCACGTCCATGTCCATTTCCACGTCCACGTCTACGTCCACGTCCACGTCCATGTCCACGTCGACGTCGACGTCCACGTCCACGTCCACGTCCACGACCACGTCCACGTCCACGTCCACGACCACGTCCACGTCCATGTCCCTGTCCATGTCCACGTCCACGTCCACGTCTACGTCCACGTCCACGTCCATGTCCATGTCCACGTCCATGTCCATGTCCACGTCCATGTCCACGTCTACGTCCACGTCCATGTTCACGTCCACGTCGACGTCCACGTCCACGTCCACGTCCATGTCCACGTCCATGTCCACGTCCACGTCCACGTCCATGTCCACGTCCACGTCCACGTCCACGACCATGTCCACGTCCACGTCCACGTCCTTGTCCATGTCGACGTCCATGTCCACGTCCACGTCCACGTCCACTTCCATGTCCACGTCCATGTCCACGTCCACTTCCACGTCCACGTCTACGTCCACGTCCACGTCCACGTCCACGACGACGTCCACGTCGACGTCCTCGTCCACGTCCACAACCACGTCCACGTCCACGTCCATGTCCATGTCCACGTCCATGTCCACGTCCACGTCCACGTCCACTTCCATGTCCACGTTCATGTCCACGTCCACGTCCACGTCCACGTCTACGTCCACGTCCACGTCCACGTCCACGACCACGTCCACGTCGACGTGCACGTCCACGTGCACATCCACGTCCACGTCCATGTCCACGACCACGACCACATCCATGTCCACGTCCACGTCCACGTCCACGTCGACGTCGACGTCGACGTCCACGTCCACGTCCATGTCCACGTTCACGTCCACGTCGACATCCATGTCCACGTCCACGTCCACGTCCATGTCCACGTCCACGTCCACGTCCATTATGTCCACGTCCACGTCCACGTCCATGTCCATGTCCACGTCCATGTCCACGTCCACGTCCACGTCCTCTTCCATGTCCACGTCTATGTCCACGTCCACGTCCACGTCCACGTCCACGTCTACGTCCACGTCCACGTCCACGTCCACGTCCACGTCCTCGTCGACGTCCACGTCCACGTCCACGTCCACATCCATGTCCACGACCACGACCACGACCACGTCCACTTCCACGTCCACGTCCACGACCATGTCCACGTCCACGTCCACGTCCACGTCCACGTCCATGTCCACATCCACGTCCACGTCCACGTCCACGACCATGTCCACGTCCATGTCCACGTCCACGTCCAGGTCCATGTCCACGACCATGTCCACGTCCACGTCCACGTCCACGTCCATGTCCACGTCCATGTCGACGTCCACGTCCACGTGCACGTCCACGTCCACGTCCATGTCCACCTCGACGTCGACGTCCACGTCCACGTCCACGACCACGTCCACGTCCACGTCGACGACCACGTCTATGTCCATGTCCACGTCCACGTCCACGTCCATGTCCATGTCCACGTTTATGTCCACGTCCACGTCCACTTCCATGTTCACGTCCACGTCGACGTCCACGTCCACGTCCACGTCCATATCCACGTCCACGTCCACGTCCACTTCCATGTCCACGTCCATGTCCACGTCCACGTCCACGTCCACGTCCATCTCCACGTCCACGTCTACGTCCACGTCCATGTCCACGTCCACGTCCACGTCCATGTCCACGTCCACGTCCACGTCCACGACCACGTCCACGTCCACGTCTATGTCCATGTCCAGGTCCACGTCCATGTCCACGTCCACGTCGACATCCACTTCCATGTCCATGTCCATGTCCACGTCCACGTCCACGACCACGTCCACGTCCACGACCATGTCTACGTCCACGTCCACGTCCACGTCCACGTCCATGTCCACGACCACGACCACGACCACGTCCACTTCCACGTCCACGTCCACGACCATGTCCACGTCCACGTCCACGTCCACGTCTACGTCCACGTCCACGACCATGTCCACGTCCATGTCCACGTCCACGTCCAGGTCCATGTCCACGACCACGTCCACGTCCACGTCCACGTCCACGTCCACGTCGACGTCCACGTCCACGTCCACGTCCATGTCCAGGTCCACGTCCACGTCCACGTCCACGTCCACGTCCATGTCCACGTCCACGTCCACGTCCACGTCCAGGTCCATGTCTACGACCATGTCCACGTCCACGTCCATGTCCACGTCCACGTCCACGTCCAACTCCATGTCCACATCCACGCCCATGTCCATGTCCACGTCCACGTCCATGTCCATGTCCACGTCCACGTCCATGTCCATGTCCATGTCCACGTCCATGTCGATGTCCATGTCCATGTCCATGTCCATGTCCACGTCCATGTCCATGTCCATGTCCACGTCCATGTCCATGTCCATGTCCACGTCCATGTCCATGTCGACGTCCACGTCCACGTCCACGTCGATGTCCATGTCCACGTCCACGTCCACGTCCACGTCCACGTCCATGTCCATGTCCACGTCCACGTCCACGTCCACGTCCACGTCCACGTCCACGTCCACATCCACGTCCACGTCCACATCCACGTCTACGTCCACGTCCATGTCCACGTCCACGTCCATGTCCACGTCCACGTCCACGTCCACGTTCATGTCCACGTCCAAGTCCTCCACGTCCACGTCCTCATCCACATCCATGTCCACGTCCACGTCCACGTCCACGTCGATGTCCACGTCCACGTCCACGTCCATGTCCACGTCCACGTCCACGTCCACGTCCATGTCCACGTCCTCTTCCACGTCCACGTCCAGGTCCATGTCCACGTCCACGTCCACGTCCATGTCCACGTCCACGTCCACGTCCACGTCCACGTCCACGTCCACGTCGATGTCCACGTCCACGTCCACGTCCATGTCCACGTCCACGTCCACGTCCACGTCCATGTCCACGTCCTCGTCCACGTCCACGTCCAGGTCCATGTCCACGTCCACGTCCAGGTCCATGTCAACGTCCACGTCCACGACCATGTCCACGTCCACGTCCACGTCCACGTCCATGTCCACCTCCACGTCCACGTCCACGTCCACGTCCACGTCCATGACCATGTCCACGTCCATGTCCACGTCCACGTCCAGGTCCACGTCCACGACCATGTCCACGTCCACGTCCACGTCCATGTCCACGTCCACGTCCATTTCCACGTCCACGTCCACGTCCACGTCCACGTCCATGTCCACGTCCAGGTCCACGTCCACGTCCACGTCCACGTCCACGACCACGTCCACGTCCACGACCACGTCCACGTCCATGTCCATGTCCATGTCCACGTCCACGTCCACGTCCACGTCCACATCCATGTCCATGTCCACGTCCATGTCGACGTCCACGTCCACGTCCATGTTCACGTCCACGTCCACGTCCACGTCCACGTCCATGTCCACGTCGACGTCCACGTCCACGTCCATGTCCACGTCCACGTCCACGTCTTCGACCATATCGACGTCCACGTCCACATCCACGTCCATGTCCATGTCCACATCCATGTCCACGTCCACGTCCACGTCCACTTCCATGTACACGTCTATGTCCACGTCCACGTCCTCGTCCACGTCCACGTCTATGTCTACGTCCACGTCGACGTCGACGTCCACGTCCACGTCGACGTCCACGTCGACGTCGACGTCCACGTCTTCGTCCACGTCCACGTCCATGTCCACGACCACGACCACGACCTCGTCTACTTCCACGTCCACGACCATGTCCACGTCCACGTCCACGTCCATGTCCACGTCCACGTCCACGTCCACGTCCATGACCATGTCCACGTCCACGTCCACGTCCACGACCATGTCCACGTCCACGTCCACGTCCATGTCCATGTCCACGTCCATGTCCACGTCCACGTCCACTTCCATGTTCACGTCCACGTCGACGTCCACGTCCACGTCCACGTCCATATCCACGTCCACGTCCACGTCCACTTCCATGTCCACGTCCATGTCCACGTCCACGTCCACGTCCACGTCCATGTCCACGTCCACGTCCACGTCCATGTCCACGTCCACGTCCATGTCCACGTCCATCTCCACGTCCACGTCCACGACCACGTCCACGTCCACGTCCACGTCTATGTCCATGTCCAGGTCCACGTCCATGTCCACGTCCACGTCGACGTCCACTTCCATGTCCATGTCCATGTCCTCGTCCACGTCCACGACCACGTCTACGTCCACGTCCACGTCCACGTCCATGACCACGTCCACGTCGACGTGCACGTCCACGTGTACGTCCACGTCCACGTCCATGTCCACGACCACGACCACGACCACGTCCACTTCCACGTCCACGTCCACGACCATGTCCACGTCCACGTCCACGTCTACGTCCACGTCCACGACCATGTCCACGTCCATGTCCACGTCCACGTCCAGGTCCATGTCCACGACCACGTCCACGTCCACGTCCACGTCCACGTCCACGTCGACGTCCACGTCCACGTCCATGTCCAGGTCCACGTCCACGTCCACGTCCACGTCCACGTCCATGTCTACGTCCACGTCCACGTCCAGGTCCATGTCTACGACCATGTCCACGTCCACGTCCATGTCCACGTCCACGTCCACGTCCACCTCCATGTCCACGTCTACGCCCATGTCCATGTCCACGTCCACGTCCATGTCCATGTCCACGTCCACGTCCATGTCCATGTCCATGTCCATGTCCACGTCCATGTCCATGTCCATGTCCATGTCCATGTCCATGTTCACGTCTATGTCCATGTCCATGTCCACGTCCATGTCCATGTCCATGTCCACGTCCATGTCCATGTCGACGTCCACATCCACGTCCATGTCCATGTCCACGTCCACGTCCACGTCCACGTCCACGTCCATGTCCATGTCCACGTCCACGTCCACGTCCACGTCCACGTCCACGTCCACATCCACGTCCACGTCCATGTCCACGTCCACGTCCATGTCCACGTCCACGTCCACGTCCACGTCCATGTCCACGTCCAAGTCCTCCACGTCCACGTCCTCGTCCACATCCATGTCCACGTCCACGTCCACGTCGATGTCCACGTCCACGTCCACGTCCATGTCCACGTCCACGTCCAGGTCCATGTCCACGTCCACGTCCACGTCCATGTCCACGTCCAAGTCCTCCACGTCCACGTCCTCGTCCACATCCATGTCCACGTCCACGTCCACGTCGATGTCCACGTCCACGTCCACGTCCATGTCCACGTCCACGTCCACGTCCATGTCCACGTCCACGTCCACGTCCACGTCCAGGTCCATGTCCACGTCCACGTCCACGTCCATGTCCACGTCCACGTCCACGTCCACATCCATGTCCACGTCCATGTCGACGTCCACGTCCACGTCCACGTCCATGTCCACGTCCACGTCCACGTGCATGTCCACGTCCACGTCCACGTCCATGTCCAGGTCCATGTCCACGACCATGTCCACGTCCACGTCCACGTCCATGTCCACGTCCACGTCCATGTCCACGTCCACGTCCACGTCCACATCCACGTCCACGTCCATGTCCACGTCGACGTCCACGTCCACGTCCACGTCCAGGTCCATGTCCACTTCCACGTCCATGTTCACGACCACGACCACGTCCACTTCCACGTCCATGTCCACGACCATGTCCACGTCCACGTCCATGTCCACGTCCACGTCCACGTCCACCTCCATGTCCACGTCTACGCCCATGTCCATGTCCACGTCCACGTCCATGTCCATGTCCACGTCCACGTCCATGTCCATGTCCATGTCCATGTCCACGTCCATGTCCATGTCCATGTCCATGTCCATGTTCACGTCTATGTCCATGTCCATGTCCACGTCCATGTCCATGTCCATGTCCACGTCCATGTCCATGTCGACGTCCACATCCACGTCCATGTCCATGTCCACGTCCACGTCCACGTCCACGTCCACGTCCATGTCCATGTCCACGTCCACGTCCACGTCCACGTCCACGTCCACGTCCACATCCACGTCCACGTCCATGTCCACGTCCACGTCCATGTCCACGTCCACGTCCACGTCCACGTCCATGTCCACGTCCAAGTCCTCCACGTCCACGTCCTCGTCCACATCCATGTCCACGTCCACGTCCACGTCGATGTCCACGTCCACGTCCACGTCCATGTCCACGTCCACGTCCAGGTCCATGTCCACGTCCACGTCCACGTCCACGTCCATGTCCACGTCCAAGTCCTCCACGTCCACGTCCTCGTCCACATCCATGTCCACGTCCACGTCCACGTCGATGTCCACGTCCACGTCCACGTCCATGTCCACGTCCACGTCCACGTCCATGTCCACGTCCACGTCCACGTCCACGTCCAGGTCCATGTCCACGTCCACGTCCACGTCCATGTCCACGTCCACGTCCACGTCCACATCCATGTCCACGTCCATGTCGACGTCCACGTCCACGTCCACGTCCATGTCCACGTCCACGTCCACGTGCATGTCCACGTCCACGTCCACGTCCATGTCCAGGTCCATGTCCACGACCATGTCCACGTCCACGTCCACGTCCATGTCCACGTCCACGTCCATGTCCACGTCCACGTCCACGTCCACATCCACGTCCACGTCCATGTCCACGTCGACGTCCACGTCCACGTCCACGTCCAGGTCCATGTCCACTTCCACGTCCATGTTCACGACCACGACCACGTCCACTTCCACGTCCATGTCCACGACCATGTCCACGTCCACGTCCACGTCCACGTCCATGTCCACCTCCACGTCCACGTCCACGTCCACGTCCATCACCATGTCCACGTCCATGTCCACGTCCACGTCCAGGTCCAAGTCCACGACCATGTCCACGTCCACGTCCATGTCCACGTCCACGTCCATTTCCACGTCCACGTCCACGTCCACGTCCACGTCCATGTCCACGTCCAGGTCCACGTCCACGTCCACGTCCATGTCCACGTCCACGTCCATATCTACGTCCACATCCACGTCCACTTCCATGTCCACGTTCATGTCCACGTCCACGTCCACGTCCACGTCCACGTCCATGTCCACGTCCACGTCCACTTCCACGTCCATGTCCACGTCCACGTCCACGTCCACGTCCATGTCCACGTCCACGTCCACGTCCACGACCACGTCCACGTCCACGTCCACGTCTATGTCCATGTCCAGGGCCACGTCCATGTCCACGACCACGTCTACGTCCACGTCCACGTCCACGTCCACGTCCATGACCACGTCCACGTTGACGTGCACGTCCATGTGCACGTCCACGTCCACGTCCATGTCCACGACCACGACCACGACCACGTCCACTTCCATGTCCACGTCCACGACCATGTCCACGTCCACGTCCACGTCCACGTCTACGTCCACGTCCACAACCATGTCCCATCCATGTCCACGTCCACGTCCAGGTCCATGTTCAAGACCACGTCCACGTCCACGTCCACGTCCACGTCGACGTCCACGTCCACGTCCACGTCCATGTCCAGGTCCACGTCCACGTCCACGTCCACGTCCATGTCCATGTCCACGTCCACGTCCACGTCCACGTCCAGGTCCATGTCTACGACTATGTCCACGTCCACGTCCATGTCCACGTCCACGTCCACGTCCACCTCCATGTCCACATCCACGCCCATGTCCATGTCCATGTCCCGTCCACGTCCATGTCCATGTCCACGTCCACGTCCATGTCCATGTCCATGTCCATGTCCACGTCCATGTCCATGTCCATGTCCATGTCCATGTCCACGTCTATGTCCATGTCCATGTCCACGTCCATGTCCATGTCCATGTCCACGTCCATGTCCATGTCGACGTCCACGTCCACGTCCACGTCCATGTCCATGTCCACGTCTACGTCCACGTCCACGTCCACGTCCACGTCCATGTCCATGTCCACGTCCACGTCCACGTCCACGTCCACGTCCACATCCACGTCCACGTCCACATCCACGTCCACGTCCACGTCCATGTCCACGTCCACGTCCATGTCCACGTCCACGTCCACGTCCATGTCCACGTCCAAGTCCTCCACGTCCACGTCCTCGTCCACATCCATGTCCACGTCCACGTCCACGTCCATGACCATGTCCACGTCCATGTCCACGTCCACGTCCAGGTCCACGTCCACGACCATGTCCACGTCCACGTCCATGTCCACGTCCACGTCCATTTCCACGTCCACGTCCACGTCCACGTCCACGTCCATGTCCACGTCCAGGTCCACGTCCACGTCCACGTCCACGTCCACGACCACGTCCACGTCCACGTCCACGACCACGTCCACGTCCATGTCCATGTCCATGTCCACGTCCACGTCCACGTCCACGTCCACATCCATGTCCATGTCCACGTCCATGTCCACGTCCACGTCCACGTCCATGTTCACGTCCACGTCCACGTCCACGTCCACGTCCACGTCCATGTCCACGTCGACGTCCACGTCCACGTCCATGTCCACGTCCACGTCCACGTCTTCGACCATATCGACGTCCACGTCCACATCCACGTCCATGTCCATGTCCACATCCATGTCCACGTCCACGTCCACGTCCACTTCCATGTCCACGTCTATGTCCACGTCCACGTCCTCGTCCACGTCCACGTCTATGTCTACGTCCACGTCCACGACCACGTCCACGTCGACGTCGACGTCCACGTCTTCGTCCACGTCCACGTCCATGTCCACGACCACGACCACGACCACGTCTACTTCCACGTCCACGACCATGTCCACGTCCACGTCCACGTCCACGTCCATGTCCACGTCCACGTCCACGTCCACGACCATGTCCACGTCCAGGTCCACGTCCACGACCATGTCCACGTCCACGTCCACGTCCACGTCCATGTCCATGTCCACGTCCATGTCCACGTCCACGTCCACTTCCATGTTCACGTCCACGTCGACGTCCACGTCCACGTCCACGTCCATATCCACGTCCACGTCCACGTCCACTTCCATGTCCACGTCCATGTCCACGTCCACGTCCACGTCCACGTCCACGTCCATGTCCACGTCCACGTCCACGTCCATGTCCACGTCCACGTCCATGTCCACGTCCATGTCCACGTCCACGTCCACGACCACGTCCACGTCCACGTCCACGTCTATGTCCATGTCCAGGTCCACGTCCATGTCCACGTCCACGTCGACGTCCACTTCCATGTCCATGTCCATGTCCTCGTCCACGTCCACGACCACGTCTACGTCCACGTCCACGTCCACGTCCATGACCACGTCCACGTCGACGTGCACGTCCACGTGTACGTCCACGTCCACGTCCATGTCCACGACCACGACCACGACCACGTCCACTTCCACGTCCACGTCCACGACCATGTCCACGTCCACGTCCACGTCTACGTCCACGTCTACGACCATGTCCACGTCCATGTCCACGTCCACGTCCAGGTCCATGTCCACGACCACGTCCACGTCCACGTCCACGTCCACGTCCACGTCGACGTCCACGTCCACGTCCATGTCCAGGTCCACGTCCACGTCCACGTCCACGTCCACGTCCATGTCTACGTCCACGTCCACGTCCACGTCCAGGTCCATGTCTACGACCATGTCCACGTCCACGTCCATGTCCACCTCTACGCCCATGTCCATGTCCACGTCCACGTCCATGTCCATGTCCACGTCCACGTCCATGTCCATGTCCATGTCCATGTCCACGTCCATGTCCATGTCCATGTCCATGTCCATGTCCATGTCCATGTCCACGTCTATGTCCATGTTCATGTCCACGTCCATGTCCATGTCCATGTCCACGTCCATGTCCATGTCGACGTCCACGTCCACGTCCACGTCCATGTCCATGTCCACGTCCACGTCCACGTCCACGTCCACGTCCACGTCCACGTCCACGTCCATGTCCATGTCCACGTCCACGTCCACGTCCACGTCCACGTCCACATCCACGTCCACGTCCATGTCCACGTCCACGTCCATGTCCACGTCCACGTCCACGTCCACGTCCATGTCCACGTCCAAGTCCTCCACGTCCACGTCCTCGTCCACATCCATGTCCACGTCCACGTCCACGTCCACGTCGATGTCCACGTCCACGTCCACGTCCATGTCCACGTCCACGTCCAGGTCCATGTCCACGTCCACGTCCACGTCCACGTCCATGTCCACGTCCAAGTCCTCCACGTCCACGTCCTCGTCCACATCCATGTCCACGTCCACGTCCACGTCCACGTCGATGTCCACGTCCACATCCACGTCCATGTCCACGTCCACGTCCACGTCCATGTCCACGTCCACGTCCACGTCCACGTCCAGGTCCATGTCCACGTCCACGTCCACGTCCATGTCCACGTCCACGTCCACGTCCACATCCATGTCCACGTCCATGTCGACGTCCACGTCCACGTCCACGTCCATGTCCACGTCCACGTCCACGTGCATGTCCACGTCCACGTCCACGTCCATGTCCACGTCCACGTCCATGTCCACGTCCACGTCCACATCCACGTCCACGTCCATGTCCACGTCGACGTCCACGTCCACGTCCACGTCCACGTCCATGTCCACTTCCACGTCCATGTTCACGACCACGACCACGTCCACTTCCACGTCCATGTCCACGACCATGTCCACGTCCACGTCCACGTCCATGTCCACGTCCACGTCCATGTCCACGTCCACGTCCACATCCACGTCCACGTCCATGTCCACGTCGACGTCCACGTCCACGTCCACGTCCACGTCCATGTCCACTTCCACGTCCATGTTCACGACCACGACCACGTCCACTTCCACGTCCATGTCCACGACCATGTCCACGTCCACGTCCACGTCCACGTCCACGTCCACGTCCATGTCCACCTCCACGTCCACGTCCACGTCCACGTCCATCACCATGTCCACGTCCATGTCCACGTCCACGTCCAGGTCCAAGTCCACGACCATGTCCACGTCCACGTCCATGTCCACGTCCACGTCCATTTCCACGTCCACGTCCACGTCCACGTCCACGTCCATGTCCACGTCCAGGTCCACGTCCACGTCCACGTCCACGTCCATGTCCACGTCCACGTCCATATCCACGTCCACGTCCACGTCCACTTCCATGTCCACGTCCATGTCCACGTCCACGTCCACGTCCACGTCCATGTCCACGTCCACGTCCACTTCCACGTCCATGTCCACGTCCACGTCCACGTCCACGTCCATGTCCACGTCCACGTCCACGTCCACGACCACGTCCACGTCCACGTCCACGTCTATGTCCATGTCCAGGGCCACGTCCATGTCCACGTCCACGTCGACATCCACTTCCATGTCCATGTCCTTGTCCACGTCCATGTCCACGACCACGTCTACGTCCACGTCACGTCCACGTCCACATCCATGACCACGTCCACGTCGACGTGCACGTCCATGTGCACGTCCACGTCCACGTCCATGTCCACGACCACGACCACGACCACGTCCACTTCCATGTCCACGTCCACGACCATGTCCACGTCCACGTCCACGTCCACGTCTACGTCCACGTCCACAACCATGTCCCATCCATGTCCACGTCCACGTCCAGGTCCATGTTCAAGACCACGTCCACGTCCACGTCCACGTCCACGTCCACGTCGACGTCCACGTCCACGTCCACGTCCATGTCCAGGTCCACGTCCACGTCCACGTCCACGTCCACGTCCATGTCCACGTCCACGTCGACGTCCACGTCCAGGTCCATGTCTACGACCATGTCCACGTCCACGTCCATGTCCACGTCCACGTCCACGTCCACCTCCATGTCCACATCCACGCCCATGTCCATGTCCATGTCCCGTCCACGTCCATGTCCATGTCCACGTCCACGTCCATGTCCATGTCCATGTCCATGTCCACGTCCATGTCCATGTCCATGTCCATGTCCATGTCCATGTCCATGTCCACGTCTATGTCGATGTCCATGTCCACGTCCATGTCCATGTCCATGTCCACGTCCATGTCCATGTCGACGTCCACGTCCACGTCCATGTCCATGTCCACGTCTACGTTTACGTCCACGTCCACGTCCACGTCCATGTCCATGTCCACGTCCACGTCCACGTCCACGTCCACGTCCACATCCACATCCACGTCCACATCCACGTCCACGTCCACGTCCATGTCCACGTCCACGTCCATGTCCACGTCCACGTCCACGTCCACGTCCATGTCCACGTCCAAGTCCTCCACGTCCACGTCCTCGTCCACATCCATGTCCACGTCCACGTCCACGTCCATGACCATGTCCACGTCCATGTCCACGTCCACGTCCAGGTCCACGTCTACGACCATGTCCACGTCCACGTCCACGTCCATGTCCACGTCCACGTCCATTTCCACGTCCACATCCACGTCCACGTCCACGTCCATGTCCACGTCCAGGTCCACGTCCACGTCCACGTCCACGACCACGTCCACGTCCACGTCCACGACCACGTCCACGTCCATGTCCATGTCCATGTCCACGTCCACGTCCACGTCCACGTCCACATCCATGTCCATGTCCACGTCCATGTCCACGTCCACGTCCATGTTCACGTCCACGTCCACGTCCACGTCCACGTCCATGTCCACGTCGACGTCCACGTCCACGTCCATGTCCACGTCCACGTCCACGTCTTCGACCATATCGACGTCCACGTCCACATCCACGTCCATGTCCATGTCCACATCCATGTCCACGTCCACGTCCACGTCCACTTCCATGTCCACGTCTATGTCCACGTCCACGTCCTCGTCCACGTCCACGTCTATGTCTACGTCCACGTCCACGACCACGTCCACGTCGACGTCGACGTCCACGTCTTCGTCCACGTCCACGTCCATGTCCACGACCACGACCACGACCACGTCTACTTCCACGTCCACGACCATGTCCACGTCCACGTCCACGTCCACGTCCATGTCCACGTCCACGTCCACGTCCACGTCCACGACCATGCCCACGTCCAGGTCCACGTCCACGACCATGTCCACGTCCACGTCCACGTCCATGTCCATGTCCACGTCCATGTCCACGTCCACGTCCACTTCCATGTTCACGTCCACGTCGACGTCCACGTCCACGTCCACGTCCATATCCACGTCCACGTCCACGTCCACTTCCATGTCCACGTCCATGTCCACGTCCACGTCCACGTCCACGTCCACGTCCATGTCCATGTCCACGTCCACGTCCATGTCCACGTCCACGTCCATGTCCACGTCCATGTCCACGTCCACGTCCACGTCCACGACCACGTCCACGTCCACGTCCACGTCTATGTCCATGTCCAGGTCCACGTCCATGTCCACGTCCACGTCGACGTCCACTTCCATGTCCATGTCCATGTCCTCGTCCACGTCCACGACCACGTCTACGTCCACGTCCACGTCCACGTCCATGACCACGTCCACGTCGACGTGCACGTCCACGTGTACGTCCACGTCCACGTCCATGTCCACGACCACGACCATGACCACGTCCACTTCCACGTCCACGTCCACGACCATGTCCACGTCCACGTCCACGTCTACGTCCACGTCCACGACCATGTCCACGTCCATGTCCACGTCCACGTCCAGGTCCATGTCCACGACCACGTCCACGTCCACGTCCACGTCCACGTCGACGTCCACGTCCACGTCCATGTCCAGGTCCACGTCCACGTCCACGTCCACGTCCATGTCTACGTCCACGTCCACGTCCACGTCCAGGTCCATGTCTACGACCATGTCCACGTCCACGTCCATGTCCACGTCCACGTCCACGTCCACCTCCATGTCCACGTCTACGCCCATGTCCATGTCCACGTCCACGTCCATGTCCATGTCCACGTCCACGTCCATGTCCATGTCCATGTCCACGTCCATGTCCATGTCCATGTCCATGTCCATGTCCATGTCCACGTCTATGTCCATGTCCATGTCCACGTCCATGTCCATGTCCATGTCCACGTCCATGTCCATGTCGACGTCCACGTCCACGTCCACGTCCATGTCCATGTCCACGTCCACGTCCACGTCCACGTCCACGTCCATGTCCATGTCCACGTCCACGTCCACGTCCACGTCCACGTCCATATCCACGTCCACGTCCATGTCCACGTCCACGTCCATGTCCACGTCCACGTCCACGTCCATGTCCACGTCCAAGTCCTCCACGTCCACGTCCTCGTCCACATCCATGTCCACGTCCACGTCCACGTCCACGTTGATGTCCACGTCCACGTCCACGTCCATGTCTACGTCCACGTCCAGGTCCATGTCCACGTCCACGTCCACGTCCACGTCCATGTCCACGTTCAAGTCCTCCACGTCCACGTCCTCGTCCACATCCATGTCCACGTCCACGTCCACGTCCACGTCGATGTCCACGTCCACGTCCACGTCCATGTCCACGTCCACGTCCACGTCCATGTCCACGTCCACGTCCACGTCCAGGTCCATGTCCACGTCCACGTCCACGTCCATGTCCACGTCCACGTCCACGTCTTCATCCATGTCCACGTCCATGTCGACGTCCACGTCCACGTCCACGTCCATGTCCACGTCCACGTCCACGTGCATGTCCACGTCCACGTCCACGTCCATGTCCAGGTCCATGTCCACGACCATGTCCACGTCCACGTCCATGTCCACGTCTATGTCCATGTCCACGTCCACGTCCACGTCCACATCCACGTCCACGTCCATGTCCACGTCGACGTCCACGTCCACGTCCACGTCCATGTCCACTTCCACGTCCATGTTCACGACCACGACCACGTCCACTTCCATGTCCATGTCCACGACCATGTCCACGTCCACGTCCACGTCGACGTCCACGTCCATGTCCACCTCCACGTCCACGTCCACGTCCACGTCCATCACCATGTCCACGTCCATGTCCACGTCCACGTCCAGGTCCAAGTCCACGACCATGTCCACGTCCACGTCCATGTCCACGTCCACGTCCATTTCCACGTCCACGTCCACGTCCACGTCCACGTCCATGTCCACGTCCAGGTCCACGTCCACGTCCACGTCCACGTCCATGTCCACGTCCACGTCCATATCCACGTCCACGTCCACGTCCACTTCCATGTCCACGTCCATGTCCACGTCCACGTCCACGTCCACGTCCATGTCCACGTCCACGTCCACTTCCACGTCCATGTCCACGTCCACGTCCACGTCCATGTCCACGTCCACGTCCACGTCCACGACCACGTCCACGTCCACGTCCACGTCTATGTCCATGTCCAGGGCCACGTCCATGTCCACGTCCACGTCGACATCCACTTCCATGTCCATGTCCTTGTCCACGTCCACGTCCACGACCACGTCTATGTCCACGTCCACGTCCACGTCCACGTCCATGACCACGTCCACGTCGACGTGCACGTCCATGTGCACGTCCACGTCCACGTCCATGTCTACGACCACGACCACGACCACGTCCACTTCCATGTCCACGTCCACGACCATGTCCACGTCCACGTCCACGTCCACGTCTACGTCCACGTCCACAACCATGTCCCATCCATGTCCACGTCCACGTCCAGGTCCATGTTCAAGACCACGTCCACGTCCACGTCCACGTCCACGTCGACGTCCACGTCCACGTCCACGTCCATGTCCAGGTCCACGTCCACGTCCACGTCCACGTCCACGTCCATGTCCCATCCACGTCCACGTCCACGTCCAGGTCCATGTCTACGACCATGTCCACGTCCACGTCCATGTCCACGTCCACGTCCACGTCCACCTCCATGTCCACATCCACGCCCATGTCCATGTCCATGTCCCGTCCACGTCCATGTCCATGTCTACGTCCACGTCCATGTCCATGTCCATGTCCATGTCCACGTCCATGTCCATGTCCATGTCCATGTCCATGTCCATGTCCACGTCTATGTCCATGTCCATGTCCACGTCCATGTCCATGTCCATGTCCACGTCCATGTCCATGTCGACGTCCACGTCCACGTCCACGTCCATGTCCATGTCCACGTCTACGTCCACGTCCACGTCCACGTCCATGTCCATGTCCACGTCCACGTCCACGTCCACGTCCACGTCCACATCCACGTCCACGTCCACATCCACGTCCACGTCCACGTCCATGTCCACGTCCACGTCCATGTCCACGTCCACGTCCACGTCCATGTCCACGTCCAAGTCCTCCACGTCCACGTCCTCGTCCACATCCATGTCCACGTCCACGTCCACGTCCACGTCGATGTCCACGTCCACGTCCACGTCCATGTCCACGTCCACGTCCACGTCCATGTCCACGTCCACGTCCACGTCCACGTCCAGGTCCATGTCCACGTCCACGTCCACGTCCACGTCCACATCCACGTCCACGTCCACATCCATGTCCACGTCCATGTCGACGTCCACGTCCACGTCCACGTCCACGTCCATGTCCACGTCCACGTCCACGTGCAGGTCCACGTCCACGTCCACGTCCAGGTCCATGTCCACGACCATGTCTACGTCCACGTCCACGTCCACGTCCATGTCCACGTCCACGTCCATGTCCACGTCCACGTCCACGTCCACATCCACGTCCATGTCCATGTCCACGTCGACGTCCACGTCCACGTCCACGTCCATGTCCACGTCCACGTCCATGTTCACGACCACGACCACGTCCACTTCCACGTCCATGTCTGCGACCATGTCCACGTCCACGTCCACGTCCACGTCCACGTCCATGTCCACGTCCACGTCGACGTGCACGTCCATGTGCACGTCCACGTCCACGTCCATGTCCACGACCACGACCACGACCACGTCCACTTCCATGTCCACGTCCACGACCATGTCCACGTCCACGTCCACGTCTACGTCCACGTCCACAACCATGTCCCATCCATGTCCACGTCCACGTCCAGGTCCATGTTCAAGACCACGTCCACGTCCACGTCCACGTCCACGTCGACGTCCACGTCCACGTGCACGTCCATGTCCAGGTCCACATCCACGTCCACGTCCACGTCCACGTCCATGTCCACGTCCACGTCCACGTCCACGTCCAGGTCCATGTCTACGACCATGTCCACGTCCACGTCCATGTCCACGTCCACGTCCACGTCCACCTCCATGTCCACATCCACGCCCATGTCCATGTCCATGTCCCGTCCACGTCCATGTCCATGTCCACGTCCACGTCCATGTCCATGTCCATGTCCATGTCCACGTCCATGTCCATGTCCATGTCCATGTCCATGTCCATGTCCACGTCTATGTCCATGTCCATGTCCACGTCCATGTCCATGTCCATGTCCACGTCCATGTCCATGTCGACGTCCACGTCCACGTCCACGTCCATGTCCATGTCCACGTCTACGTCCACGTCCACGTCCACGTCCACGTCCATGTCCATGTCCACGTCCACGTCCACGTCCACGTCCACGTCCACATCCACGTCCACGTCCACATCCACGTCCACGTCCACGTCCATGTCCACGTCCACGTCCATGTCCACGTCCACGTCCACGTCCACGTCCATGTCCACGTCCAAGTCCTCCACGTCCACGTCCTCGTCCACATCCATGTCCACGTCCACGTCCACGTCGATGTCCACGTCCACGTCCACGTCCATGTCCACGTCCACGTCCACGTCCATGTCTACGTCCACGTCCACGTCCACGTCCAGGTCCATGTCCACGTCCACGTCCACGTCCACGTCCACGTCCACGTCCACGTCCACGTCCACATCCATGTCCACGTCCATGTCGACGTCCACGTCCACGTCCACGTCCATGTCCACGTCCACGTCCACGTGCATGTCCACGTCCACGTCCACGTCCACGTCCAGGTCCATGTCCACGACCATGTCCACGTCCACGTCCACGTCCACGTCCATGTCCACGTCCACGTCCATGTCCACGTCCACGTCCACGTCCACATCCACGTCCACGTCCATGTCCACGTCGACATCCACGTCCACGTCCACGTCCATGTCCACGTCCACGTCCATGTTCACGACCACGACCACGTCCACTTCCACGTCCATGTCCACGACCATGTCCACGTCTACGTCCACGTCCACGTCCACGTCCATGACCACGTCCACGTCGACGTGCACGTCCATGTGCACGTCCACGTCCACGTCCATGTCCACGACCACGACCACGACCACGTCCACTTCCATGTCCACGTCCACGACCATGTCCACGTCCACGTCCACATCCACGTCTACGTCCACGTCCACAACCATGTCCCATCCATGTCCACGTCCACGTCCAGGTCCATGTTCAAGACCACGTCCACGTCCACGTCCACGTCCACGTCGACGTTCACGTCCACGTCCACGTCCATGTCCAGGTCCACGTCCACGTCCACGTCCACGTCCACGTCCATGTCCACGTCCACGTCCACGTCCACGTCCAGGTCCATGTCTACGACCATGTCCACGTCCACGTCCATGTCCACGTCCACGTCCACGTCCACCTCCATGTCCACATCCACGCCCATGTCCATGTCCATGTCCCGTCCACGTCCATGTCCATGTCCACGTCCACGTCCATGTCCATGTCCATGTCCATGTCCACGTCCATGTCCATGTCCATGTCCATGTCCATGTCCATGTCCACGTCTATGTCCATGTCCATGTCCACGTCCATGTCCATGTCCATGTCCACGTCCATGTCCATGTCGACGTCCACGTCCACGTCCACGTCCATGTCCATGTCCACGTCTACGTCCACGTCCACGTCCACGTCCATGTCCATGTCCACGTCCACGTCCACGTCCACGTCCACGTCCACATCCACGTCCACGTCCACATCCACGTCCACGTCCACGTCCATGTCCACGTCCACGTCCATGTCCACGTCCACGTCCACGTCCACGTCCATGTCCACGTCCAAGTCCTCCACGTCCACGTCCTCGTCCACATCCATGTCCACGTCCACGTCCACGTCCACGTCGATGTCCACGTCCACGTCCACGTCCATGTCCACGTCCACGTCCACGTCCATGTCCACGTCCACGTCCACGTCCACGTCCAGGTCCATGTCCACGTCCACGTCCACGTCCACGTCCACGTCCACGTCCACATCCATGTCCACGTCCATGTCGACGTCCACGTCCACGTCCACGTCCACGTCCATGTCCACAGCCACGTCCACGTGCATGTCCACGTCCACGTCCACGTCCACGTCCAGGTCCATGTCCACGACCATGTCCACGTCCACGTCCACGTCCACGTCCATGTCCACGTCCACGTCCATGTCCACGTCCACGTCCACGTCCACATCCACGTCCACGTCCATGTCCACGTCGACGTCCACGTCCACGTCCACGTCCATGTCCACGTCCACGTCCATGTTCACGACCACGACCACGTCCACTTCCACGTCCATGTCCACGACCATGTCCACGTCCACGTCCACGTCCACGTCCACGTCCATGTCCACCTCCACGTCCACGTCCACGTCCACATCCACGTCCATGACCATGTCCACGTCCATGTCCACGTCCACGTCCACGTCCACGTCCACGACCATGTCCACGTCCACGTCCACGTCCATGTCCACGTCCACGTCCATTTCCACGTCCACGTCCACGTCCACGTCCATGTCCACGTCCAGGTCCACGTCCACGTCCACGTCCACGTCCACGACCACGTCCACGTCCACGTCCACGACCACGTCCACGTCCATGTCCATGTCCACGTCCACGTCCACGTCCACGTCCACATCCATGTCCATGTCCACGTCCATGTCCACGTCCACGTCCATGTTCACGTCCACGTCCACGTCCACGTCCATGTGCACGTCGACGTCCACGTCCACGTCCATGTCCACGTCCACGTCCACGTCCACGACCATGTCGACGTCCACGTCCACATCCACGTCCATGTCCATGTCCACATCCAAGTCCACGTCCACGTCCACGTCCACTTCCATGTCCACGTCTATGTCCACGTCCACGTCCTCGTCCACGTCCACGTCTATGTCTACGTCCACGTCCACGACCACGTCCACGTCGACGTCGACGTCGACGTCTTCGTCCACGTCCACGTCCATGTCCACGACCACGACCACGACCACGTCTACTTCCACGTCCACGACCATGTCCACGTCCACGTCCACGTCCACGTCCATGTCAACGTCCACGTCCACGTCCACGTCCACGACCATGTCCACGTCCAGGTCCACGTCCACGACCATGTCCACGTCCACGTCCACGTCCACGTCCATGTCCATGTCCACGTCCATGTCCACGTCCACGTCCACTTCCATGTTCACGTCCACGTTGACGTCCACGTCCACGTCCATGTCCATATCCACGTCCACGTCCATGTCCACTTCCATGTCCACGGCCATGTCCACGTCCACGTCCACGTCCACGTCCATGTCCACGTCCACGTCCACGTCCACGTCCATGTCCACGTCCACGTCCATGTCCACGTCCATGTCCACGTCCACGTCCACGTCCACGACCACGTCCACGTCCACGTCCACGTCTATGTCCATGTCCAGGTCCTCGTCCATGTCCACGTCCACGTCGACGTCCACTTCCATGTCCATGTCCATGTCCTCGTCCACGTCCACGACCACGTCTACGTCCACGTCCACGTCCACGTCCATGACCACGTCCACGTCGACGTGCACGTCCACGTGCACGTCCGCGTCCACGTCCATGTCCACGACCACGACCACGACCACATCCACTTCCACGTCCACGTCGACGACCATGTCCACGTCCACGTCCACGTCCACGTCTACGTCCACGTCGACGACCATGTCCACGTCCATGTCCACGTCCACGTCCAGGTCCATGTCCACGACCACGTCCACGTCCACGTCCACGTCCACGTCGACGTCGACGTCCACGTCCATGTCCAGGTCTACGTCCACGTCCACGTCCACGTCCACGTCCACGTCCATGTCTACGTCCACGTCCACGTCCAGGTCCATGTCTACGACCATGTCCACGTCCACGTCCATGTCCACGTCCACGTCCACGTCCACCTCCATGTCCACGTCTACGCCCATGTCCATGTCCACGTCCACGTCCATGTCCATGTCCACGTCCACGTCCATGTCCATGTCCATGTCCATGTCCACATCCATGTCCATGTCCATGTCCATGTCCATGTCCATGTCCATGTCCACATCTATGTCCATGTCCATGTCCACGTCCATGTCCATGTCCATGTCCACGTCCATATCCATGTCGACGTCCACGTCCACGTCCACGTCCATGTCCATGTCCACGTCCACGTCCACGTCCACGTCCACGTCCATGTCCATGTCCACGTCCACGTCCACGTCCACGTCCACGTCCACGTCCACATCCACGTCCACGTCCACATCCACGTCCACGTCCACGTCCATGTCCACGTCCACGTCCATGTCCACGTCCACGTCCATGTCCACGTCCAAGTCCTCCACGTCCACGTCCTCGTCCACATCCATGTCCACGTCCACGTCCACGTCCACGTCGATCTCCACGTCCACGTCCACGTCCATGTCCACGTCCACGTCCACGTCCACGTCCATGTCCACGTCCACGTCCACGTCCACGTCCAGGTCCATGTCCACGTCCACGTCCACGTCCATGTCCACGTCCACGTCCACGTCCACATCCATGTCCATGTCCATGTCGACATCCACGTCCACGTCCACGTCCACGTCCATGTCCACGTCCACGTCCACGTGCATGTCCACGTCCACGTCCACGTCCATGTCCAGGTCCATGTCCACGACCATGTCCACGTCCACGTCCACGTCCACGTCCATGTCTACGTCCACGTCCATGTCCACGTCCACGTCCACATCCACGTCCACGTCCATGTCCACGTCGACGTCCACGTCCACGTCCACGTCCATGTCCACTTCCACGTCCATGTTCACGACCACGACCACGTCCACTTCCACGTCCATATCCACGACCATGTCCACGTCCACGTCCACGACCACGTCCACGTCCATGTCCACCTCCACGTCCACGTCCACGTCCACGTCCATCACCATGTCCACGTCCATGTCCACGTCCACGTCCAGGTCCAAGTCCACGACCATGTCCACGTCCACGTCCACGTCCATGTCCACGTCCACGTCCATTTCCACGTCCACGTCCACGTCCACGACCACGTCCACGTCCACGTCCACGACCACGTCCATGTCCACGTCCATTTCCACGTCCACGTCCACGTCCACGACCACGTCCACGTCCACGTCCACGTCCACGTCGACGTCGACGTCCACGTCCATGTCCAGGTCTACGTCCACGTCCACGTCCACGTCCACGTCCATGTCTACGTCCACGTCCACGTCCAGGTCCATGTCTACGACCATGTCCACGTCCACGTCCATGTCCACGTCCACGTCCACGTCCACCTCCATGTCCACGTCTACGCCCATGTCCATGTCCACGTCCACGTCCATGTCCATGTCCACGTCCACGTCCATGTCCATGTCCATGTCCATGTCCACATCCATGTCCATGTCCATGTCCATGTCCATGTCCATGTCCATGTCCACATCTATGTCCATGTCCATGTCCACGTCCATGTCCATGTCCATGTCCACGTCCATATCCATGTCGACGTCCACGTCCACGTCCACGTCCATGTCCATGTCCACGTCCACGTCCACGTCCACGTCCACGTCCATGTCCATGTCCACGTCCACGTCCACGTCCACGTCCACGTCCACATCCACGTCCACGTCCACATCCACGTCCACGTCCACGTCCATGTCCACGTCCACGTCCATGTCCACGTCCACGTCCATGTCCACGTCCAAGTCCTCCACGTCCACGTCCTCGTCCACATCCATGTCCACGTCCACGTCCACGTCCACGTCGATCTCCACGTCCACGTCCACGTCCATGTCCACGTCCACGTCCACGTCCACGTCCATGTCCACGTCCACGTCCACGTCCACGTCCAGGTCCATGTCCACGTCCACGTCCACGTCCATGTCCACGTCCACGTCCACGTCCACATCCATGTCCATGTCCATGTCGACATCCACGTCCACGTCCACGTCCACGTCCATGTCCACGTCCACGTCCACGTGCATGTCCACGTCCACGTCCACGTCCATGTCCAGGTCCATGTCCAGGGTTTAGGGTTTAGGGTTTAGGTCCACGTCCACGTCCACGTCCACGTCCACGTGCATGTCCACGTCCACGTGCATGTCCACGTCCACGTCCACGTCCATGTCCATGTCCATGTCCATGTCCACGTCCACGTCCACATCCATGTCCATGTCCATGTCGACATCCACGTCCACGTCCACGTCCACGTCCATGTCCACGTCCACGTCCACGTCCATGTCCACGTCCATGTCCACGTCCACGTCCATGTCCACGTCCATGTCCAGGTCCATGTCCAGGGTCGTCCCTAAACCCTAGACCATGTCCACGTCCACGTCCACGTCCACGTCCATGTCTACGTCCACGTCCATGTCCACGTCCACGTCCACATCCACGTCCACGTCCATGTCCACGTCGACGTCCACGTCCACGTCCACGTCCATGTCCACTTCCACGTCCATGTTCACGACCACGACCACGTCCACTTCCACGTCCATGTCCACGACCATGTCCACGTCCACGTCCACGACCACGTCCACGTCCATGTCCACCTCCACGTCCACGTCCACGTCCACGTCCATCACCATGTCCACGTCCATGTCCACGTCCACGTCCAGGTCCAAGTCCACGACCATGTCCACGTCCACGTCCACGTCCATGTCCACGTCCACGTCCATTTCCACGTCCACGTCCACGTCCACGTCCACGTCCATGTCCACGTCCAGGTCCACGTCCACGTCCACGTCCACGTCCATGTCCACGTCCACGTCCATATCCACGTCCACGTCCACGTCCACTTCCATGTCCACGTCCATGTCCACGTCCACGTCCACGTCCACGTCCACGTCCATGTCCACGTCCACGTCCACGTCCATGTCCACGTCCACGTCCACGTCCATGTCCACGTCCACGTCCACGTCCACGTCCATGTCCATGTCCACGTCCACGTCCACGTCCACGTCCACGTCCACATCCACGTCCACGTCCACATCCACGTCCACGTCCACGTCCATGTCCACGTCCAGGGTTTAGGGTTTAGGTCCACGTCCACGTCCACGTCCACGTGCATGTCCACGTCCACGTGCATGTCCACGTCCACGTCCACGTCCATGTCCATGTCCATGTCCATGTCCACGTCCACGTCCACATCCATGTCCATGTCCATGTCGACATCCACGTCCACGTCCACGTCCACGTCCATGTCCACGTCTACGTCCACGTCCATGTCCACGTCCATGTCCACGTCCACGTCCATGTCCACGTCCATGTCCAGGTCCATGTCCAGGGTCGTCCCTAAACCCTAGACCATGTCCACGTCCACGTCCACGTCCACGTCCATGTCTACGTCCACGTCCATGTCCACGTCCACGTCCACATCCACGTCCACGTCCATGTCCACGTCGACGTCCACGTCCACGTCCACGTCCATGTCCACTTCCACGTCCATGTTCACGACCACGACCACGTCCACTTCCACGTCCATGTCCACGACCATGTCCACGTCCACGTCCACGACCACGTCCACGTCCATGTCCACCTCCACGTCCACGTCCACGTCCACGTCCATCACCATGTCCACGTCCATGTCCACGTCCACGTCCAGGTCCAAGTCCACGACCATGTCCACGTCCACGTCCACGTCCATGTCCACGTCCACGTCCATTTCCACGTCCACGTCCACGTCCACGTCCACGTCCATGTCCACGTCCAGGTCCACGTCCACGTCCACGTCCACGTCCATGTCCACGTCCACGTCCATATCCACGTCCACGTCCACGTCCACTTCCATGTCCACGTCCATGTCCACGTCCACGTCCACGTCCACGTCCACGTCCATGTCCACGTCCACGTCCACGTCCATGTCCACGTCCACGTCCACGTCCATGTCCACGTCCACGTCCACGTCCACGTCCATGTCCATGTCCACGTCCACGTCCACGTCCACGTCCACGTCCACATCCACGTCCACGTCCACATCCACGTCCACGTCCACGTCCATGTCCACGTCCACGTCCATGTCCACGTCCACGTCCACGTCCACGTCCATGTCCACGTCCAAGTCCTCCACGTCCATGTCCTCGTCCATGTCCACGTCCACGTCCACGTCCACGTCCATGTCCATGTCCAGGGTTTAGGGTTTAGGTCCACGTCCACGTCCACGTCCACGTGCATGTCCACGTCCACGTGCATGTCCACGTCCACGTCCACGTCCATGTCCATGTCCATGTCCATGTCCACGTCCACGTCCACATCCATGTCCATGTCCATGTCGACATCCACGTCCACGTCCACGTCCACGTCCATGTCCACGTCCACGTCCACGTCCATGTCCACGTCCATGTCCACGTCCACGTCCATGTCCACGTCCATGTCCAGGTCCATGTCCAGGGTCGTCCCTAAACCCTAGACCATGTCCACGTCCACGTCCACGTCCACGTCCATGTCTACGTCCACGTCCATGTCCACGTCCACGTCCACATCCACGTCCACGTCCATGTCCACGTCGACGTCCACGTCCACGTCGACGTCCATGTCCACTTCCACGTCCATGTTCACGACCACGACCACGTCCACTTCCACGTCCATGTCCACGACCATGTCCACGTCCACGTCCACGACCACGTCCACGTCCATGTCCACCTCCACGTCCACGTCCACGTCCACGTCCATCACCATGTCCACGTCCATGTCCACGTCCACGTCCAGGTCCAAGTCCACGACCATGTCCACGTCCACGTCCACGTCCATGTCCACGTCCACGTCCATTTCCACGTCCACGTCCACGTCCACGTCCACGTCCATGTCCACGTCCAGGTCCACGTCCACGTCCACGTCCACGTCCATGTCCACGTCCACGTCCATATCCACGTCCACGTCCACGTCCACTTCCATGTCCACGTCCATGTCCACGTCCACGTCCACGTCCACGTCCACGTCCATGTCCACGTCCACGTCCACGTCCATGTCCACGTCCACGTCCACGTCCATGTCCACGTCCACGTCCACGTCCACGTCCATGTCCATGTCCACGTCCACGTCCACGTCCACGTCCACGTCCACATCCACGTCCACGTCCACATCCACGTCCACGTCCACGTCCATGTCCACGTCCACGTCCATGTCCACGTCCACGTCCACGTCCACGTCCATGTCCACGTCCAAGTCCTCCACGTCCATGTCCTCGTCCATGTCCACGTCCAAGTCCTCCACGTCCAAGTCCTCCATGTCCACGTCGATGTCCACGTCCACGTCCACGTCCATGTCCACGTCCACGTCCACGTCCACGTCCATGTCCACGTCCACGTCCACGTCCAGGTCCATGTCCACGTCCACGTCCATGTCCACGTCCACGTCCACATCCATGTCCATGTCCATGTCCACGTCCATGTCCACGTCCACGTCCATGTCCACGTCCATGTCCAGGTCCATGTCCAGGGTCGTCCCTAAACCCTAGACCATGTCCACGTCCACGTCCACGTCCACGTCCACGTCCATGTCCACGTCCACGTCCACGTCCACGTCCATGTCCACGTCCACGTCCACGTCCAGGTCCATGTCCACGTCCACGTCCATGTCCACGTCCACGTCCACATCCATGTCCATGTCCATGTCCACGTCCATGTCCACGTCCACGTCCATGTCCACGTCCATGTCCAGGTCCATGTCCAGGGTCGTCCCTAAACCCTAGACCATGTCCACGTCCACATCCACATCCATGTCCATGTCCACGTCCATGTCCACGTCTCACGTCCATGTCCACGTCCATGTCCAGGTCCATGTCCAGGGTCGTACCTAAACCCTAGACATGTCCACTCCACGTCCACGTTCCTCCACGTCCATGTCTACGCACGTCCATGTCCACGTCCACGTCCACCATCCACGTCCACGACACGTCCACGTCGACGTACACGGTCCACGTCCACGTCCATGTCCACTTCCACGTCCATGTTCACGACCACGACCACGTCCACTTCCACGTCCATGTCCACGACCATGTCCACGTCCACGGTCCACGACCACGTCCACGTCCTGTCCACATCCACGTCCACGTCCACGGTCCACGTCCATCACCATGTCCACGTCCATGTCCACGTTCCACGTCCAGGCAAGTCCACGACCAGGTCCACGTCCACGTCCACGTCCATGTCCACGTCCACGTCCATTTCCACGTC